GAAAAGAAACATGTAAGCTTTACAATCAGAAGCATCACTTTTGTTCTGGCACTACTATATACGTGAATTACATTATTTAGGAAAAGAATCTATCACAGACTTCACGATGTTGTTCTTTTCTGATTTTCTATATAAAGTGATACTGTGACAGCATCCGGTATATATATATAGGAGCTTCCTTCCATTTTTCACATAAAATTGTGTCTATGTTTGTGAGTATTGCTGCCAAAATGGCAGCTTAACACGTAGTCCCACTTTATGCAAGCCTTTAATGGTATATGGCATATAAATCGCTGCATAATAATTTAGTCATGTTTAGTTGGCATCAATTTGTGTCTTTATGCCCTGAAGAGCGAAAGTATGCAACTCTTTATGCTTTTGAAAATAAACAAAGAAATAAAAGATAAACTGACACCTTCATTGTATCTTTCAATTGAATAATTATTGAAACTTCAGCGGATTCACAAGAAAAATAAAATAAAATCTAACTTTTATTAGAGAGAAAAAAAATAAAAGGACAGAGAGACTATTACCTTTGCTATTATTTCCATTCACCGCTGGTTTACATTTTAAAATGAGAACACTTTCACATTTTAAAGTTGTGCTTGAAAGTTAAAACTAAGGGTTATACATGTATAATGTTACATGAAAAATACTATTTGGTCTTACACAAATATAAAAGAAGAGAGAGAAAATGAGTTGAGGAAAGATAAAATAAAAAATTGTGGACCCCAGGTCTATTTGTTTGTGTAGGAAAACAAGCTTTCATCATGTTACATAATAGATATATTTTCCTAAAACTAATCATGAGTAGCCCACCGACCCACTCCTCTAGGTTATTTTCATTCTGACTTCCTATGTAAGGAGGAAAATTTTATATAGAAGCGCTTATTTGTTGAGATTGAACACAAATACACACAAACAAAAATGAGAGAAAAGAAAGAAAATAGAGACATACAATTTATTTGGGTTTATCTAAAGTGGATTACATCAACCAATGCGAAATATAAATAGGCTTAAAAAAATCTAAGCAACAGTATTTATTTATGAGTTTAAGCTCAAGTTACTGAAAAAGAGACAAGGGTGTGTATTTGATTGAAATTTTAAAAGATTTTAATAGATTATTTTTTAATAAAAAGATTTATTGGTATTTGATTAGGAATTTAAATGACTGAAAAAAAAGTCGCGTGGTATGCGATTTTAAAAGATTATTTTGAAGTCAGTTCAAATCCGGTGGTATTCAATTAAAATTTTAAACAAAGGAAAAGTAATCTTGTGGTATTCAAAAATATGATGATTTTAGTGAATTTTCTATTGGTATGAATTTTGTGATATTTTTTAATGTGAAATAAAAATAGGATGCCTCTCTCGCAATCTCATCCTATCCCTAAAGATTTCTTGAAATTTCTTTATTGTATTGTTTTTTCTTTTTTTGACGGGTCGACTCGCTCAAAACTGGGTTCCAACATGATCAAAACTCAAAAATAACGTATTTTTAAACAATTTTCATTACAAAATAATTCAAAAATAATTGATTTTTTTTATATCCCGCTGACAAAAAATCATCATCTAAATATAAAGGATCAGCCATACTGAGTACAGACTACGCAAAACGTGAAGGACTATTATTCTCCACTCCACACTTGAGTTTGTTGTGTGCTAAGTCATCATTATGAGCAAAGATTTGACAGCACTAAAGTGTGAAAACATAAAATATACGGTAACAACCTTTTATGCTTGGAATTTTTTGACTGATGTTTAATTGGAAGATAGAAGTCCATTTTACACAATTGATACATTGAATTAACGAAAAACAATACTATATTTATCACTTCATGATAATCAGAGAAGAATAATAACTTTCCTTTTTACAGTGATGCTTCCTTTTTGTTTCTTTGTCCACCCAAAGGCACGAAGCTTTTACTATTACTTGTTACTTCATATGTGTTTAGCAGTCAAATTGTGGAGTAGGATGCCAAGTCTGATACTTCGTCTTCTCAATAAGCGCTACACCATCCATTTTTTGATGTTGGGTTCTACACATTCAATTTGAAATTTCTGAGAGTCAAGTTATTAATATTCCATTCCACACACCAATATTAGAAGAAAAATATTATATTTATAAATTTTTTGTTTACAAATAATATTATGTCTGACCGATAAGACACTCTTGAATAGAGTGTTATCGGACAAACATAATATAGTTTGTAAGTTTATATAAATAAAATTTGTCAATATAACTCTACTCATATTAAAAAAGCTATTGTGCAATAATTGAAGTCAATGGGTTAAAAATATTTTTAGATCAAGTGGGATTGTTTGACATCTAGCTAAACCAAGTTGGCTAATTGAACCACAGTGTAGTGCTAGCCGCCTAAAAATTGTAGCTAGTATGCTCTACTTAAAAAATTTGAACAATCTTTGCTTTCGGTGTCCGTGGGCTATCAATTGCAGAGGAGAGACATTTGTTCTTCATAAAGCTCTGGAGCTACTACTAGACTTCACATGGGGTTCGAAACTCTGAATATGAATTTGGCAGAGTCAGTATATTAGGAGCAATGTTATTAAACTCAGGGTTCTAGGTTAATGAGTCATTGATTTAATTCAGTTAAATTGAATTTATATTAAATTATTTTATAAATATATTAATAGATATACTTTAACAAATAAATGACTTTAATTTAGTGGCAAGTGCTTCATTATTTCTGAAAAAATTTGTACCGGTTGAACTGTTGTTCATGATTGATTCACCAATTTAGTATCGGTTCAATTATAAAACTGATTTACTGTCCAAACCAAATCGGTTGATGGTTCGGTTTCTGATTTAATTGGTCGGACTCGCTAGATCGAGTCCAAATTGCCCTTCACATGTAATGATTCGTTTTCCTTAATTTATTGTTAATGATTATCATTTGCAATTTGTTATTTAAGGTAGAAGATATAATTTTAAATTTAGATATAACATTTGATGAAATTTGAAGGAAAAAAATTCAATAATACCTCTGACAATTACAACTGACTCATTTTCTCAAACTATTTGTAGACTATGATGTGAATGGTAAATGATTTGTCTTTAATTGTATTAAATAATAAATTTACCAGTCTATATATAAATTAAAAATTAGTATAAATAACCACTTTATCCCTTTATATCAGTATAAATAATCAGTTGAATGTTGCACAAATATGGGCAAACACAATAATTTTAGGGTCAAGTTTTACTTTTTTTGCTTTTGTTCTTCAATTCTTATTCGATTCTCTTTTATTTTATTTTTTTAATCAAGGACGAAAACTAAATTGTATACTAAAAGCATTGTACGAAATATGCTTTAAGTATAAAGTTTTTGCACAACATATGTTTCTTTTTTGGGTAATCAGCTCACCATCTGTTTCAAGTATAAAGTTAGAGTTAACAGTTTCTCCTCTCTCCAGTAGAAACAAAAAATCATGGGATCCACCAAATTAAAAAAAAAACAAACAAACAAACAAACTGATAGTATGCTTTTTTGTGTCTAGCAGGGAAGGAGAAACTCATTCCCCATGATGTTATACACATTTTTTTACTGGCATCAATCTCTGCTTTTCACCTCTGGCGTATTCATGTTGGATCTCTAGTGTTTTCGTCTAATTACGAAATATTTATAAGCTAACTATAACTAACACTATCAAATAAGAAATTTCAACTGCAAGTTAGTTTGGTTTTTTAAAGGAGAAAATTTTATCTTTTAATTTGTAACTTTTCATTTCTTTTATTTATATTTTTCTTGACTTTTTATCTTTTCTCACCTTTCAATTTTATTAAATATCAATCTTTTTTTTAATAAATTGGAAAAAGAATTCAATTATAAAATTATATACTATTAAACTATCCTATAAACGTAATTTTGTTACATATTAATTTTAATCTTGATTGTGTAAATTCTAGTGATCAAAATATTTAAATAATTTTTTTTGAGATTTAATATAACTTAAAAAACTTTGCTATACATTATGTCCCTCTTCTATTGTCTTTCTCCCATTTTCCGTTTCCTTTCCTCCCTTTTTCCCAGTTTGTGTAGGCTTCTCCAAGGGTTCTTTGTGCCATTTTGGATTTTTAATGTGTTAGTTTTCTTAATTGGTATCAGTTGAATTTTATTTTCCTTGAGTTCCACGGATCTCATTAATTTTTTTTTAATGAATTCTAATTTTTTTCCGGTTATTAATGAAAAATTATTTAAAAAACGCAATTGGTAAGTGTCAAACTCATATCCTCCCCTTTAAACTGTTAAACTATGAAGCATCGACACTTCAAAAATCCTGATGTGTTGTGTCCGACACATTCCGACACTCTCGGACACTCGGACACTCCCCGACACTTCAACATGCATGCATTATAGAAATTTAAAAAAAAGGTTCAAATGTTAAGTTGCATTGAGTTTTTAGTTCCAACTAATAGATTCGTTGGATTACGATTACCATTTTATTGAGTTTAATATAAATATTTAAGATATTTTATGTTTCTTTTACAAAAAGTAACAGAATTAAAATTTGTGGATACAAAAAGTAACATATTTTATATTTAATTTTTTGGTAAATCACTTTTTTATTTTTAATGAAAAGTACCTACTCCTATAGTATCAAAAATATTCTGGATACATCTTGTATTTACCGTAGTTAAGCTTTTATTTATATATATATATGTGTGTGTGTGTAGACACACACGCACTAAACAATTGACAAATCATAGCCTGGAATGAAAGAGAGAAATGGGTTGCTACTAAACTAACTGGGGCACCCTCTAACAACCCAATTTCATATTTGACCTGAGGAACATCTCAGATTCCAAATACAGTGTATTATTGACGTATTTTATTTTTTAAAAACATTAAAAAAAGAAAAAGAAAAGGCCATATGCAATATTTCTTATGGCTTGCAAAGAGCTTTTCCTGGATCAAGTGCTACGAACCTACACTTTTTTAAAGGCTCTTCCCGAAAAAGATGTTTCTTCTGTGATCAAAAATTCAAAAGCCACAATACTGAAACTGACTAACTCCATGGCTTTTCACGTAGTGTCCTGCCCCCACTGTTACATCGTCTTGCTCTTCATGCAACCGCAATTCTTCAATCTGAATGAATGCCACATAAATATCAATAACCCTTCAACTAAGTAATTAACAATATGCTCCACTTACTAATTTTTTTTATTTTTTTTTAACAATGTGCTCCCTATTGCCCCTGTAATTCTAGTTGAATATCATAAATTAAATTCATTAATGTTGAAATTTGACAAAGTAACAGAATTAAAATTTACCCAAAAATTGAATTCGCCTTCATCTCGGGGTGAACATGGAGCCTTGGGAATCTCGCTGGCTTCATCGTTGCGGGCAAATCTGCCACGTATGCGCGGTCGATTATCGGCCAGTGTCTTTCGGCATGCATACTGGTATCACATGAAAACAACGACACACACATTCACACCTTTCCTTTTCACCTTCTATTACTTCTCTTCTTAATCAAACATTCATATAAAAATGTTTTACTCCAATGATGATTTTAATTTTTTTTAACATGTTTATACAAATTAAATTATATATAGAGTTTTATAAGATTTATGTTCTAGAAAAAATAATTGTGTAATGTTATAGAGATTCGTTTTGTGTGGTTTAGTTTTTTTTTTTTTTGCATCAAAAAGTGCGAACCCCACAAAAATGTTGTGTATGTATGAAACTCTTTTTTGGTGTCATCTTAAATGATGAATGTGTTGAGATATATAATCCTACATTAGTTGCACATACAACCAATGTAAGACTATATATCTCAACGTCCAAGGCCTTATAAAGGCGCACATACAACCAATGTAGGAGTATATATCTTAACAGAATGCAAATCCATTATATATATATATGGGTTTTCATTTTATCCTTTAACATAACACAACAAACTTTCCTACTCTCACAATATTTTGTGGGGCCCACACTTTTTAAAACAAAAAAATAAATAAAAAATTAAGGCACGCAAAACGAATCTCGATAACATTATACAATCACTTTTCCTACAACATAACTCTTATAAAACCCTATATATATATATATATATATATATATATATATATATATATGATTTGATTTTCTCATGTTGCACGAGAATTCAATTCTCATGTTGTGACTCAACTAGTGGTGGGTCCTACATTTATTAAAAAAAAAGAAAAAAAAATTGCACGTAAATCGAAGGGTCACAACATGAGAATTGAATTCTCATGCAACGTGAGAAAATATTTTCCCTATATATATATATATATATATATATATATATATATATATATATATATATATATATATATATATATATATATATATATATATATATCAGTATAACTCATTCACACTTCCCTTTAATGAAAAAAAATATATATCATATTTTATTTTTGTATCTCTCTTCTTCTTCTTGTTAAAAGAATGACCGTGAAGAGTGTAAAACATAAGTTGGTATTATTGTATAAACTAAAACAGCATTGAACTAAGTAGAAGTAGTTTACTCTTCCAGTTCAACCATTACCCCAAAAAGAAATAGTGTTAATCTTTCTTTACCTTAATGGTCTTGTTGAAGTTCCTCTGGGTTCTCTTGGCTCTGTATTTAGAAATTTTTTCTTTTTTTTCCTCGGCACTGTAACGCCCTACTTTGAAGTTTGGTTCCTCCAACATCGGCCCCTCCGTTTGAGACATGTGATTTGCTTGCATATTCTGATCAATAAGTAAAACAAAATTCAAATAAAATCAACTTTGAATTTAAAAAATGATAATTAAATCAGTGTGTTTGTTTGATTGTTTTTTTACCTGTAAATCTCCTGTGCTGCACACCCTTCTCATTTGTCCAGCGAAGACAGTGTGTTCAGGGGAGCTTGTGTCATGCCTTTGAAATTTTGGGGAATCGATGAGAGTATCACAGTGAGGTTGGAACAGAAAATCAGGTTTCCCTTCGAAAGAGTTGCTGCTGAAGCTCCTCTGCATGTACTTATATATATTTTCAGTGCCACTGTAACTGTGAGGAAGAAATTGCTGATTGTAGGTGTAATCAACACCCATTTGGCATTCCTCATTTTTCACTTCCCACCCATCACAAGCTGAGAAACTTCCAAATTCACTTGTTGAAATTGGGCCATTTGACTGTGGCTGAACACTGTTAGTCAGATAAAGGCTAAGGTTTTCCAAGTGAGCATTTGGAGGAGACAAAGATGAAAAAGATGGGGGAAAAGGATCAAAAGAAGGAAGAATTTCATCAAATGGGTTTGAATTATTATTTTTTTGAGTGGGAGAGCTAGTGAAGAGAGAGTAAGGGTCAGAGAAAAACGAAAGGTCTCCACCTCCATCAGAGGAGACCATGCCTGAGTTTGAATGTGTGTGCAAATAAGTGTCAAAAGCATAGTGATCAGAAGACATAGAAGCAAAGTTGGTGATAGAATTCAACGCCTGAATCCCCTAAAACAAAAGAAGGGAACTAACTATTTATTGTAACAACTAAAATAGTGATAACAATTTTGGGTTTGTATGGAACTATGGATAGTGAGGGAGGGTGCTATTTTGCATATGTTTTTGTTTCTGAAACTTCAATTTGGTCCCTGAATGATGTGATGGAATGGAAGGCCTAGTAACTCGTTGAACAAATAGACAAATATATGGAAACTCTTACCTTTCTATGTCTCTATTGAGAGTTGAGACCTGTCCATCCCAGCTTGAACGCTTCGCTAGAATTTAAAGAAAACACATCCTTGCAAATGTGCCATTTGACCCCTTTTCTTTTTTTAATATTCTTCAAACTTCCCTGTGTTTAGTTCTCTCTCTCTCTCTTTGACACATGCCATTTTGCCCCTTTTCTTTTTTATATTCTCAAAACTTCCCCAGTGGGACATTTTTAAATTATAACCTACCGTCGAAATTACTTTGACTTTTCTTTTAAAAAAATAATAATGTTGGGTGTAGTACATTTTTTTTTAACACAGAGACTTATTTTTTAAAAAAATTTAATTATAATTAACTGTCTTATTTTTTTAAATTATTTCCATTTATTCTTTATTATAATAGAATGACAGTAGTAAAAGTGTGGTTATTATGTATTACAACAACAAATGGGTTGGGCTGCCTTGCTCAACCCATCTAAAAATAAAGTTAACATTATTTTTTAGCAAGAGGCATTCAGATGGTTTTTTTTAATTCAAAAGCTGTCAGTTTTTTCCCAAAAAAAAAAACTATGTCAGTTTTTTTTAAAAAATAAAATAAATAAAAGTTACAAAAAAAGTCAAATTTTTTTAAGCAAGGCTTACAAAAAAAAAGTCAAAATCAAATATTTTTATCAAAATTTGAATTTACCATAGTCCCAACATCAAACAATCCCACAGTTATCGCTATCATTATTGTCACCGCCTCCACTATCATCTCCTTCACTCAACCACCTACACTATTGTCACCACCCACATTATCGTCATCACTATCACCATCACCACCATACTATTGCTATTGCCACTACCCTACCATCACCTCATCTCCACCATTGTGGTGTCGTCATCATCATTACCACAATAAATAAATAAATAATAATAATTAGGGATAAATTATTGAATGTAAGTGTATTATTTTGTGTTTCTTTTAATTGTCTTTTAATGAACATGATTAGGGCCATTTTGAAACATATAACGCAAGAATCATGTGAAATTGTTAAATTCAAAAACAAAATTCCAAAAAATTCACGTGGAAATGTTTGTTAATGATTTTTGTATAAATAATATTTTACTATCACATGTACCATTTGCATGATAATATTTTTTCTATAAATAGAAGTTAAGAGAAGCATTACTAATTTGCTTCAAAATTGAGAGAAATCAAAGAGTGAGGGTCTTGGGAATTTTAAAGAAAATTTTACTAAGGGAGGTTGAGAGAAAATTGAGAGTGAGAAAGCTTGGTCATATAGCCAGCTCAAAAAGCTGATGTTTTGAGCTTATGTTTGTGGCGATACCGAGGGATCAACTTGTCTCAAAGAGATAATTAAGGTCGGTATACAAAATAATAATAATATAAATCCCATTGACGTGTTACTTTATTATTTTATTTTTGTTTTCCTCTTCTTCCCCTACCCAATCCGGATGGGATACCGTATAGCATTATAATTTTTTTTATGTTATTTATTTCATTGTTTATATTTTTGTAATTTATAGTACAACAGTTTATATTTCTGCAATTTATATTTCTGCATTTTATAATTGTGTATGATAAATTTTGTACTGTCAAGATCTATTGTAATGGTGTGAATGTTCATACTTTTATGTGATGTGAAATTTAAATATAGTAAAATATGATTTATAATTTCTTTTTACAGGATTCTTTTGAAGATATCCACATGATTGTTTGCCTAAAGAATTTATGTGATTCCTAGTAGAAGACTAGAAGGTAATCTAAATATGTGCATGATTAAGAAATTGAGTTTATTAAGTCAAGGAACAAATTCCTTAAACAAGATGAGACAGGAGAATGCCCTTACAAGGTACACAATTTCGATGAATAGAAAAATTAATGCATATGAAAATGTCTTGGCAGATAATGTTATATATATATATATATATATATATATATATATATATATATATATGATGTTAGATCGTTTCAAAATATTATGATGTTCACATTATTCAATTAAAACCATGAATGCTTTTTTCATACTAAGTTATGGGTGGAAATATTATACTTCTACGAAAAATCTTTTTAATTGCTATCGATAAATATCTCATTAAGTGTGTGTTTTCAGATGTAGAGGATAGAGCCTAAAGTAGATGCTCTGTGTGTGAAAGAAAGAAGTATTAGCCAATAAAATTTACATATTTTTATTCAGTTACGAAATTATGTACTATACCATAATTATATTTTGATTGCACTATTTGTATTTAGTAAAGGTGACTTAATACCCTTTGTTGGTTTAATAACTTGTACTCTAATATTGCAGAATAAAGTCAATTTCAGCAAGACTTATATATCAAGTTTTTTTTTATATAATATACATGGGATAGGATATTGTGACACCCAAATTATGTTACACCCATGTGACACCCAGTCAATCTCACCGTTAGATCGCTTATGTTGATCTAACGGTTATATTTATTTCCATCTTTGTATAGTCATGATTTCCCAAATTTAAAGTGAAAGCATTAAATATGGGAAATCATAACCATACAAAGGTAGAAATAAATATAAAATATTAAATTTGAGAAATCATGACCATACAAAGATGGAAATAAATATAACCGTTGGATCAACATAAGCGATCTAACGGTGAGATTGACTGGGTGTCACATGGATGTAACATAACTTGGGTGTCACAATATCCTATCCCAATATACATATATAATTAGAGTTCAAAATACCTAGATAACGTTCCTCTGTTAATAATTGAAGAATGTTACAACCTCGTTGTCGCCGCCTCACCTAGACATCCACTATCATCACCACCACCACCACCACCACCCCACCTCCATTACCATGTTGCTGCCTCCACCACCGCCTCCATCACAAAATCTTTCTTCTATAATTTGTTTTCACCCATCTTTTTTAGTATTTTTATACATAAAAAATGCTTTTCAATTTTAATATCCAAACAATTTTTTTTAGTTAAAGATGATTTTTACATGTAATATCTAGATACACAATAATTCAATCTTTTAAAAAAAGTCCTTATAAAAAAAAGATATTGTTTCTCATATTGCATGATATAATTTGTTTCATACAACACATAAAAAATGAATGTAAAAAAAAAGACAAAATATAAAAAGTTCATTTTTCAGTAGTTCAGTCCAAACCTTCCTTAATAAGTGATTTCTCTCTTTTCAAAGCATACAAGTTGTGTATCAATATTGCGTTTTAGGTTTGTGCAGCTAAGCTACGAGTTGTGGTTTAATTTGTAAATTAATAATTTTTATATATTTAATTAAGATTTTAATTAAAATAAAGTAATTAAACGACTTCTTTTTCTTTCTCTCGTGTTGTCTTGCATACCTTTGGTGGATCTTGCTAGTGAGATATCAATGGTGATTCATTATTTCAAAGAAGAATTTTATTGAACAAAAGAGAGACAATAAATTAATTATTTCAAATAACAAAAAAAGGTTATTAATGTAACACCCTTTATAGGTTAGCAGCATAGAGAATATACATTAATTCTTAAATAATACTTTAAATAAAAGTATAAGAATTATATAAGACTCTTAAAAAAAAAAGTGGTTACAGGCCAACACCTTAAAGATAATTTTATATTAGATGCGAAGTTAATGTCACTATTACATATAGATTAAATTATATTATATCAATAGAGGCAAGCATCTAAACTGTATAAAACCAATTTAATATTATAATAAATGCGTTGATTAAGTCTCATTTTGTATGTTTTATACACAAAAGTTTCTACTAGTTTCTATTCTGTCAGGGTAGAAAATAGCAGTCACTTCCTCTTCTCCAAACACGATGTAAAACTTCATACTATCCTCGAAAAAAAGTTGACTGTTGATCCCCAACCATCAATCATCAAACACACACTAGACAAGTTTATTTTCTGGAAAGGTCAACATAAATATAAATAAATGTGAGATGAATATCAGTTATATTGAGATTTTCAAATTATAACCAGCTCAGCCATCTCTAAGCATGTTTATGATAAAAATCTTTATTTCAATAATAACTTGTTGGACTTCCTCCTTCAATGCTAAGCCCAAGCCCATTTGAGGGGTTTCCTAAAAATCCTAACCCTAATTTTCACCTCCTCTATATATACTCATTAGTTGTGGGTGGAGGCTAGGTCATATATGAGAGAATTTTATTTGACATATATTTGAGAGAAAATTGTTTGAGCAAAACTTTATGCTTTGCATTTGAGAGATCTCTAGAGAGAGTTTGAGTGAAACATCTCTAGGGTAGTTTGATTATCACCATTGTTGGAGAGGTTGAGTTAACCACCACATTGATGTATTTGATTATTTGTAACCATTATTTTCATAGTGAATTTTTGATCTTGACTAGGTCCCGTGGGTTTTTACTTCTTCATTGAAGAAGGTTTTCCCACGTTAAATCTGGTTGTGTTCTTCTTCTTCTCTCTCTCTCCTGTTTTGTGATTTTTCGTTTTGATATTTCCGTTGCGCTGCCTGTCCTGGTGAAATTCAGGCCGAGGTATAGCCGAGATCCGAGATCGGGATCTTGTTGATTGACTTCTGCACAAAGGCTGCTTAGCCGAGCTTGAGGGAACCGAGTTTTCCCAACAGTGGTATCAGAGTCCGAGTTCGACGGGTTCTGAGGGAGACGAGATGGAGACCAGTGGCATAACCAATGATGGAGACATGTTCAAGTTGACCGTAGATAATTTCACCTATTGGAGACCGATGTGGAAGATCATCTCTACTGCAAAGATCTACATAAGCCCATTACCCTTGATGAGAGACCGACAGGCAAGACCGATAAGGAGTGGGATCCTGAGTCAGAAGGCAGTAGCCACGATCAAGAAATATATTGATAAAAGCCTCTTTGAGCACGTGTCCGAATTCACGAACGCGTATGAGTTGTGGACGAAGCTGGAGTCCATGATTCAGAAGAAGATTCCCAGGAATAAAGCATACCTGGTTCGCCGACTTGTGAAGCTTGAATACAAGGACGACATGCGCATGATTGAACACCTCAACACCTATAAAGGTATTCTGAATCAGCTGTCAAAAGCTGAGATGAAAATTGATAATGAGATGCAGGCTTTGCTGTTGTTGAGCTCGCTGCCAGAAAGCTAGGATACTCTGGTGGTGACTTTAAGTAATTCAGCTCCAGAAGGAAAGTTGAAGATGGATGTCGTGACAGACAGCCTCCTGAGCGAAGAATTCAGGAGAAGAGAACGAGGTGTTTCAAGCACGTCTGAGGCCAACGTTGCTGAGAACAAAGGGAAATCTGATTCCCGGGGTAGAAGCAAAAGCCGGGGTCGAGATCGTGACAGAAGAGGAAAGTCCAGAGGTCGGTCAAAGCTAAAATATGAGTTGAAGTGCTTTTACTGTGGAAAGACAGGCCATAAGAAGCCAGACTGCTGGACCCTGCAGAATGATGAGAAGAACGGTTCTGTGAAGCCGGATCAGATTATTCCCAAGAAGAGGGAAGAAAAGAGCACCACTGCGGTGGCTGCCAACCCGGATGCCGAGATATTCCTCCTTGGTGAGGATAATTATTTGAATGTTGCATATGATGAATGCACCTGGATTATTGACTCCGGTGCCTCTTTCCACGTTACTCCACACAAAGGTTTTTTCTCCTTTTACCGAGGTGGTGATTTTGGAGTCGTGAAGATGGGAAATCAAGTGACCAGCAAGATTGTTGGTGTTGGTGATGTAACTCTGACCACGGATGTCGGATGCCGACTTGTGTTGAAG